AGAACCCCATTGTTCTGGGCCACCGAATTCCCCGGGAGTGGTCTAATGATCAGGACACTTATTGATGGTGGGGCTGATGTTCATGCTACGAATGAGAATGGTGACGGCCTGTTGCACCACGCAGTATCACTTCTCCAGATGGACTCGATTAACGCACTTTTAGCCCTCGAAACTCCAGTCGATATCAACCTGATGAACAAGCAGCATAAGACACCTCTTCACTATGCCGTTGCAATGACCCAGATGGTCCAGGATGGAGTGCCGCTCTTGATTGCCGAAATGTTTATCAAAGCTGGCGCAAACGTCAACGCGGCAGAGGAGTGTTACGCGACACCCCTTCACTACGCTATCGAATGTAACTCTGTGCCAATGGTGGAGTTACTGTTGCGTCAAAAGGCGGACCCGAATGCTCGTGGTGAATTGGGCAAGTCGCCCTTGTTGCTGGCTCTTGAGCGAAGACCAGCGCGTTCCACTGAACGTATTGTTGAGCTTCTGTTGGAATTCTCGGCATCGCCCGTTTTGTCAGGCTATGACGGAGGAAATCCTGTGCAGGTGGCTCGGACAAGGAATACAGGACGTATTGTACAATTAATTCAAGAAGCGGCTAAAGCACACACAGAAAAGCTTGTCACTGAACGGAAGCAGCTCCCACTCCATCTAGCCGTCAGCCATCGAGATCTAGCTGCCGTTCGAAGCTTATGTTCCAAGGCGAAGATAGTCATTCAAAGAGATTTCGAGGGGGGCACAGCATTACATTTGGCAGTTGCTCTTGGCCACACCGATTGCATTAAGGAAATCTTGGGCGCAGGGACAGTACGTGTCGACCCAGAGCTAGCGAACAACGAGGAGCAACAACCACTACATCTGGCAGCACTTGCTAATCGTGTCGACATCGTTGAGCTTCTGCTGAAGCATAAGGTGGATATCAACTATGGGGATAGGCGAAAGCAAACACCCCTTCATCTTGCAGCCAGGTCTGGGAACATTCTAGCGGTGGAGCGGCTCCTGACGGCGGGAGCAAATGTCAATGCCTCGGACATGTTGTCTCAGACTCCACTCCATCTCGCCGTGACTGGAGGTCATGCCGATGTTGTTGAACGGCTATTGCAGGCCCAGGCGGACATGAACTCACAGAATGAGGATGGAGATACTGCCCTGTACCTCGCCTTGAGGTATCAAAGGAGGCCTATAGTCTTGTTGCTACTTGAACAACGAAACCTCAATGTGGATTTGCAGGACAAGAAGGGCATAACACCCCTTCATCTTGCGATACAATACGATTTTGATGGACATGTGATTCATCGTCTGTTACAATGGTCGGATGAGTTCTTCAACAGCTTCGAGCAGCATGCGGAGGAATTGGGCCAACGCGTCGACAAACCCTCTGCCCTACATTGGGGCGCTCGATATGGGAACGTGCTAGTCATAGAGCAGTTATTGAACTCCCGCCATCGACGGTCATTAGGGTGGCCTTGGAGACCTGAATCGGGGAATAGAGCAGTACATGAAGCATCACGTTGTGGAAATGTGGAGGTCATGGGGAAGCTGATCGAAGCTGGCTCGAGTCCATGTCTGATCAACAGCCTTGAGCAAACGCCTTTGAACCTTGCGCTGCAAAAGAAACAGGTTCTCTCGGCGAACTACCTATTGCAGAGATACCCACGGGAGATGCTGAATATCGACCGTGGCGACTATTGGTCCAAGACGGCGCTCCATTGGGCCTCGCAGCATGGCTTCATTGATGTTGTGACTAATCTGCTTGAAAAGGGTTCGAATGTAAACCAACGGTTTGATGGGAAGTACAGTGCATTACATCTAGCTGCCGAAGGGGGACACGAGGCTGTTATGGATTTACTATTAAGAAAAGGGGCAATTGTGGACGCTACCATGCACCAGACACATGGAACTCCCTTGCACGTTGTATGCGAGCGGGGATACCGGAACTGTGTCAGCAGGTTAATCAACGGCGGCGCAAACCAAAACTTCCCAAATGGGTCCGGCAATACACCATTACACTTGGCTGCTATGGGTTACCACAAGGGCGTAGTTGAGGAGCTACTTGCGGCTCATGCAAACCCAATGTTGACGAATAGCGAGGGAAAGAAGCCAGTAGAGGTTATGGATCCGCTCGATACGCGCTATCATGAGATCAGGGAGCTTTTGGCAAAGCCTATTGCGGATCCATAAGGCATTTATGGAGCCGGCTCCAGTGTTGTGGTATGCGTTTGCTCCATGATTTCTTGCCTTAGGTGATGTGATGGCTGACATTCAAAATAGGCATCTGTATGTACCTACGGGGTTGGTGTGGGGTAGTGATATCTTATATACTGGAAGTATATGTTAGTGGTTTTGGATTTCTTTAGTTAGGAAATTTGGATAATGTCCGGGGCTCCATTTCTTTTATATATCTTGCCTTTTGTAGTTTAAATCTCCTACAATGTTCCCACACATGGCTTTAGTCCACTTGAATTCCTTTGCGTTGTGACTATCGAGGATGGTGAGTATGGTAGCCGTGGCGGACGACTATCGCTACTCTCGGGCTCCGGGAATATTTTGAGATTTTTTTTAGCACTCCCGTATCCAGCTTCGTAATTCGGGTGATTCTAAGTTGTACACAAAAGTGTCGGGCCACCTTGAATTCCTGTGCATATACAAAATTGTATGGAGAGGAGATAAGTATATTTACTAACTTAAATTTGGCTAAAATTCGGGTGTTTTGATTCTTTTTTTTGAACAGAGGCACTTGAAGTGTATCTTTTTCTGATTGACAAGAAATTGGCCTAAAGTATCAATATTTGAAAATAGTGAAAAGGTATTCAGGACTCCGACATTTTTGAATGATTTTACCAATACAAATCCGAAAGTCAAACTAAAATATATATGTTCTGGTCCGTTGCAGAATTCAGTCCATTCCGGAATGGACCGGTCTATACCGGAATGGACTGGATTCCGCAACAGACCAGTCCATTACGGAATTAGAATCTTTAGTTCGTAAAAATTTTCTTCAACGCAACAGAGCAATACTCTTCAACGCAACAAACGCAACATACTCTTCAACGCAATATACTCCTCAACGTTCAACGCAACATACTCTGTATATAGCAATATTACCAGTATACTGCGGTATTCCCACTTTCACCATAATGTCAGTTGCCGAAGATAATAGTGATGTTGATTTGGATCAGTTTCACCCGCTAGGCTCCGCTCCATCTCAAAGTGCAATTGAAGCCTTCTCTGGTACTGCGCGTATTAAGTTTGAAGAGTATTTGCATACAACAAGTAGTAAATCTTGGTTGACCTTTGAGAAGTAATTCTTTAAAATCCAATTCAAGTATATGGTAACTAACTATAACTTAGGTATCGCAAAATAAAAGCATATCTTCGAGACCCAAACTTAAAGGCTCCAGCGGGTCATTTGCTAGCAATCAAACTACGATGGAAGGCTTTAAATGAATATAAGCTGCGCAATGATGTGCTTTATTTTATTGCTGGCAAAAATAATAATGGGAAACGAGTGGTTTTGGAGCATGATGTATTTGATGTTATCGCACATATTCATGATACTTTACTACATGCAGGAAAGAACAAGACCTATAATACTATTAATGAGAGGTATCATGGAATTACTCGCAGTGAAGTATGGGTTTAAATCTACTTATGTATATTATATTAAATTAATATTTTGTTTAGGTTACTGAACTTTTACAATACTGTCAGCTTTGTGCACGCAACAAACCAAGCCAAAAGCCGTGGTCCATTACAACGAATAGTTGTAAATAGTCTCTGGGAACGAGTGCAAATTGATCTAATTGATATGCGAGCTGATCCAGATGGAGAATACCAATGGATTTTACATATTCGAGATCATTTTAGCAAATACTCTAGTGCTTATCCTTTAAAGTCTAAAGAAAGTACCTAAGTTGCTAATATACTAATGATGTGGATTGGACAATTTGGCCCACCAAAAATTCTTCAATGCGATAATGGTAATGAGTTTAAAGGTGAAGTACTTGTTATTATAGAATATCATGGAATTTCTTTAATACGGGGACGTCCACGACATCCTCAGACACAAGGATTGATTGAACAAGCAAATGCTGTACTAAAGCAGAAGATTCGTATGGCAAAAGCTAAATTAAATGACAATCGATGGGTGCAGTTTTTGCCTATTGTCATTTTAGCTATGAATCAACAGGTAAGTAAAGTACTTATTATTATGTATAAAAAATAATAGACTCGGTTTCCTCTCAATTTGCCTTGCCCAGAGTTCACATATATGCCATTCCGGAACGGCCCTGCAATTCCGCAACGGACCAGTCCATTCCGGTATGGGCGTCCATTCCGGAATGGACTGAATTCCGCAACGGACCAGAACATATACACATTTTTAGAAATTTATTCTCTACCATTCTGCTAATGTAGCATAAGTCAGCAGTAGTTTTAAGCCGGCGGCATTATATGAGAATCCCACTAGAATACTTGACAAAATTCTGCTCCAGTATGGGTTGCCAGTGTGGAAGCTCGATATGAGTTCCGTTGAATATTCCTTGTTAAAAGGTTTTTTTTTGCACGTTGGGTTTGAACTGCTCGCTGCTACCGGCCGCAGCGAGTTACCCTCAAAGCACATTCAGAAGCGCGCAGACTTGATTGAAAGCGTAAGACTTGCTATGTGAGCTACACAATGGGTGGCTGAGGGAGGCCAGTCAGCCGATATATTTATGAGACAAATGTCCGTGGAATCATGCACAGGAGGATAACCTAGGATTATAGGGCTTCTCGAGCTAGACATAATTGGGGGTACGATTATTGTGGCCCCGTGAAATGAAGCCATACAGCTCTAGCGACGTCGGTTTATTTATGTACTTATCACGGTTATTTGGGTGTTACTCAAGATTAGGCCGGTGCTTAATCTGAGAAAATAGTATAGCCTGAAAGTAAAATATAGTCTTGTGATTTCAGTGCATTGTGTCCTCCACCGAGGGGAAAAAATATAAAAAGAATGGCTCAGCTGGGAGTTGAACCCAGATTCCCGCCCTCTGCATCTCATTTCGCAGGTATCTACACAGCAGGAGTCTTACCGTTAGACCACTGTGCCTTTTTGGTTATATGTGTCACATTGTGTCCTCTATCAGTAGCACCGCTTGTCTAAACTAGTCACTGGACTAGTCTCGGAGCTCTTCTAAACGATATCTGCTAGTTCCCTCCCATTATCTGCTGCATGGACAAGCTCTGGCGAGGATAAGCCTGAAGGTAGGCATACTAGGTGGCTAAATTGGGCCCTGGGGGCTGGAAGTCTCTCGCGACCGTACGCTGCATGTAAATTCACCACCGAAGACCTGAAGTTTAGACATTTTGATATCAGATATTCAGCATGGCATATTTCTCAGTCCACCCCACAGTATTTTTATAACTCTTGACAGAGCCCGCCAGACTATCATTGACAGCAACCCCTTATTCTCCGGCTTTCGCGATTACATCGCAACATCCCCACTTTCTAGGTACCCACAAGCCCCTTAGTAGCCTCGGAAAGTACCCTTCTCACAAGGGTCGGTCCCTATATACCAAGCATGTCCTAAGCGTTATGCTGTAGATTTTGGTCTCGAACACGACACTGTCCAGTTCCCAATGACAGCTCCATCCGCATAACGGCGACACTGAAACCCACCTCTTCCTCCGCAATGACCAGAGCATGCTTTGCCATCGCGGACTTTAAGATCGGTTTGCTGGGCGCATATCCGGATTAGCTACTCCCACTCCCACAGGGTTAAAAAATAACTAGGGACAGAATAAATAGGGACAGTGAGGTAGGAGTTAGGTGCCTCCAGACAATAAGTGTTTCATGGAACTGGCATCCGAGAAACATTATCAGTTTATTTGCATCAATAAGAACTTAAGGTATCGCGGGTCCCAAAACATATTATCATCTGGACAGCCACGGGTGCCAACACCAATCCAGTCACTGTAGAACTCGGAGTCGGGGTTAGGGACTACCACGGGAGAGGAGAATATGAGAGCAGAGAAGATGGCGATGGTCGCGAGGATGAGGCAGAAGTGATTGGACTGCATAGCTTAGGATTGCGGGGCCTTAATGTCTGTGATAGAAATTGGGTTCTTTGATGGCAAGGAGATTTGGTGATGAGGAGATATTTGAACGATGAAGATCACAGGCGGGCTATATAAGCTACTGCTATGGACTCGAGTTAATGAGTTGAAGAGCTTAGTCAGTACAAATACTATATATGTAGTTGTAGTCTGGTTGCACAACCCCTCATCTCTATGTAATTGTGGTTATAACCAAATGAGGCTCAACTAACTTTTTTTTTTTTTTTTTAATTCATTACTCGCATATAGAAGTCTCCATGGCGAGGTAACTTCCGAGACATCAACCACAGGGCATAATAACAACCCTGAAATCCAGCCAGAATTCAAATTTCCTGGATACATTTCTCATTCTGCTGAACCGAACACTCGTGAATTCACACCAGATATAATTGCCAGCTTATGGCTATACATACTGTTTTCGGAAAGGGAACTACTTCCCGATATATTTTCCATATGCAGTTTCCCTCACCAGCACTGCATTTGTCTTTTGCGCATGTAGGTTCGGTAGTACTTGCACAATGCCCCGGCACAGGACTTCCCGCTCCGTCCTCAAAAAGGTGCGCAGCGGGCTCCAGCCGCTCTCAGCCTCATGAATCGATCTGTATGGGTAACTACCACGATATAATGCATGCAAACGGGAAACTGCGAACACATGTACAACATAAATAACAAATAATCATGCCAGTTCCGCGTCGGCACCGGGCATTGGTGGCGTACTCCAGTTCCCGTTACACGAGCTGTAAAGGTACTTGAGTTGGGAAGGTTTCTTGCAGTTTCTATTTTGTGAGAACTAGACGACATTTGAGCGCTCCTACACCTTAAAAATCGCCATACTCTGCCGCAAATAAGGGCATATTAACTGTGACTCGCTCATGAGATGTACCGTGGCACAAAATCTCAAGACTTAAAGCCTAAGCCAGATTAGGAAACACAGTCCAGACTAGGAAAGCAGGACTCTTCCTGTTTCCAGAAACAGACTAGCTCATCAAGGTACTGTAGTACAAGGAGCTAGGGGTATGTGACCGAAGCCCAGATCACAACCAGCTCTGTACATCTGGGAGATCCTAATATCGGGTAACTGACCCACCTTTTTTTTTTTTTTGGTAAATCAGTACTTGCATTTAAGCATCTCGCTTATGGCAAGGCAGCGCATCCCCCAGGTTAAGCCTGACGGGATTATCCAACCACCGGGCCGCTCCCTGCCCCAACTGACCCACCTTGAGCAGGTAACTACAAGTACAGCTCAACTGGAAATCATCACCGTCTGGGGAACAAACTCACTGACAGCATTCCCAGACTGAGATCATATATGTATCGTTCTACGCAATAAGTCATCGGCCGAGGCGGTTACTGCACCAGAACTGGTTTTGAAAACCTTCAAAAACTAAAGTTACCAGGGCAGAAGCTTTATCTTTGGAGTTTTGGTTCCTCGATATAATCAGAACTCAGGTAAGGGGAGAGTTGTTTGGATTATTAAGTAGTTCAGACTAGTAGTGGCATGTATCTTCTTCCCTTATAGATTTGTACGGCAACGTAATATATCTTGCCCTCTTGTGAATTCTGTATCATTTGTGCACTGCCCCAGTAGAGCTAGGTGAATCATAACATCTAAAGTTGAAGTTTTCGATAATCCCTCAAAGTCCCGTGGACTACAAGTGATTGTAGGAGAGTGATGAGTTTTAGTAGTATTTTGTAAAATGCTAATTTTGGAAGCGAAAATGATCCTGGACGAAGAGTTGTGGCATACGGAATTGTAAATATTAGCTGTTTGTAACGATGCGACAAGCTATATAAGAATACCTCGCCGTGGTCAGTCCGTATGCGAGTATTGAAATAAAAAAAAAAGCTATATAAGAATAGGGACTTGGGATATTGGCTTGTCGAAATGCCAAGCTGCTAGTGCCAATTGCGGTCAACTGCTTGGTCGGATGAAGATGCATCACTGTACCTATCAAAAGCCCGGCTTCATTTCAAGACTACTACATACGCTGTGCATCAACATCTTCTACAGAATGAAGAAGTACAAAGTCGCGCCCAGAACTCTATTTGAGCAACCAACAACAGTCGGTACGGGGTTCTGGGGTGAGAAGCACAACGATGTCGAGGATAATGGTGAGCCTGCTGGCTGTAAGTAAAATTTAATTGCCTGCCATCTGCTGCTGCTAACTATAGTATGCGGAGTGGACCATTTTGCAAAGGAACTCGGTAAAACAGGAAATCAAAGCACGTGTCCTGTCCTGGCCCCGTTTGTTCTAGAACCTGCCGATGTCGGGTCTACTACGCAAGACAAGGCTGTCCCTGGGCAAAATAATATCGCAGAACCCATTTCCCGAAGTCATAAAATTTGCTTGACGCAAGAGGCATTCAAGCAGTTAGACAAGGACCTAAAAAACCCTTTTACAGAAAAGCGGTCGGCCCAACTGCATAAGGAATGTGCCAATATATTGACGGAGAAACAAGAAGAACCCCTTCCGTCTGAGCATGATATTGTATGCACTCGTATCACTCAATCCAATGCACAAGAGAATAAGATCCACCTCAGCAAGGCTGCCTTCATTCACTTCATGGATTTAGCGAATGAGTCCTTATCTCCTGGAACCGGACACGCTGAGCTTGGGAAAAATGGCTCCATCTGCCCCCCTGCCCCGAGAAAACCCAGTGCAAAGGAAATGCCGGCAAACAAGCCCATTGATACACTAAGTCTACCACTTGGTCGGCCTCGGTACACTGGACAACAGTCAGTGCGTGGGGGGATCGTCTGCTTAGACGATATCGATGGCGTATCCACAAATAAGATGCTGGAAGATGATGGTATAAAGACCTCCAAATGCATCATTGCTGGAAGCGCAGCTATACCACCAACGTCGACTCCCGGGGAGGCTCAAGCTCAACGAATTCTTCCGGAAGCAGGGGAAGAAAAGGAGGTAAAAGCGATTACGCTGCATCTCAAACATATCCTCCTCAGTACCCTTACGAAAGCCGTGGGAGAGTTAGTGCTCTCAAACTATGAGAAAAAAGTGGACCAGTTTTGCCATGACGCCGTACGTTAAAACTTGGTGACCAAACAGCTGCAGCGAACTCCAAGCTAACTTGATTATATCCAGGCGGTTAAGTTTCTTGAGCAGAAAGCACGTCGCCAGGAGGGTCTGGGCTCACAGATGCAGGATGACATGAAGGGGACACAATGTGAAGAGTTTTCCGGGCTGGTGATGAGGAGGTGGGTGCTGATGATGAGGCTCTTGGAAAGGAATACAAACAAGGGCAAAGATGTGAAGAGGGCTGAGGTGCGCAAGGATGAGAAGTTAAAAGCCATCGGAGCCAAATAGAGTATATTGGCAGCACGGAGACGCAGCTGTAATGGGACATAGTAATAGTACGACAGAGCGTCAAAGTTATTCTATTCAGTACCTAATATATATGCTGCGCCAGACTTTATACGACGATGGTCTCATACCTTCATGACTGCATGTCCCCTGCGTGCATCCCGCCATATGTATTCCCGCAAGCTCGTTACAGAAATGTCAATAGAAGGTTGGAGGTAGTCTGGTTGGAGGAATTGATGCCAACCAGACTAGGAATTGATAATTAGAGCAATATCCAAAGCAGTTAGCGTTAACCTGTGACTCGTACTGCCAAGAGTTCGTCAAGATCAATCATTCCGGGGCCGTACATGTGTTTAGTTGTGCACGGTCAGTCTTAGTCTGGCTAGCACTTTGGAGAGGCTAGTGCTAGCCAGACTAGGTCAGTCTAGTCTCTACGAGAGGTTGTGCAACCAGGCTAGGTCAGTCTACCATTTCCGGGAACTAAAAGCAAAAAGAATAATGGCTCAGCTGGGAATTGAACCCAGATCACCTCCCCTCTGCCTGAAATCAGCAGGACAATACATAGGAGGAGTCATACCATTAGACCACTGTGCCTTTTTGTTTTTGTTGATCTATGTCGGTATATATGAACCATTGTTTGGATGCCTTCAGGAATTGCGATCTCAACCGT